TATTAATTCCAGTTTTATCTCAATACCTGTCGACATTAATTTTTGTCAAAAGCAGGTGTACATTTTTGGCAATTACAAACAGGAAAATTCTGAGACTATTCTTCCTGACTGAATTGACAGTTCTAGTGTTAAAAATTTATATTACAGTCTTGACTTATTCCCTGTCACATGACAAATAGGCACAAGGATCCTATAAAGTACCAAAATCTATAATCGACTTTAAATTACCTGATTTTCTTCTAAAAACCATTAAGAACGAACCAGTAACAATTTACATATACTTCTTCCCTCTTTAAATGACATTTACACTTGTTAGACCCCCTTGATCTTAAATTCTACAAATTTTCAACGTATCAATAACTCCATCTCCTATCTATTTGATAAATCCTAATATTTCAAGAAAACACATCTGTCCAGTCACAATAATTTACATATACTTCTTCTCTCCCTAAATGACAGTTATAATTATTAGACCCCCTCGATTCTAAATACCACAAATTTTCAACGTACCAATAATTCCATTTCCTATCTACTCGATAAATCCTAATACTCGAAGAAAACACATCTGCTCAGTCACAGAGAGACACTCGGCATTCGCGAAAATTACTATCACCAAGTGTTACAGGGGTTATAACGCGAGGAATAGTAGTCAGTGGAAAACTGTGAGAAAACTGTATAGATCTTTATTAAACGGACGAATGGTTAGAACTGGCCTGTTTAGGGCCTCGCAGGTCAAAAGAATGATGACAAAAACTGGCCTGTTTAGGGCCCCGCAGGTCAAAAGACTGGTGACAAAGGACAGAATACAGGGGAAGGGATCGCCCCCAAACTGTTGGAATGTAGAGTTTATTTCACTATTGAATTTTACCATAACACAATGCATGCATGTCACACTCACGACAGGACTATATCACATTCTTAACTGGTCGAATATTAATCAGATCTAATCCGGTACGATCCACTTGTCCCCATTAACTTGCAACAGATCAGCACCTAATACCGACCGCGATAGCTGGCTGGAATTTGCATTGCAGCTGATAGACCTCGCATTAGCATTTAAAACCCCATGACAAGGCTGATCCGCATCCGACATTCGCGGCGTATCACACGCGAGAGCACGTCGACACGAAGCAACAAGACAGACGTTAAAACCGTCTCTGCGAAGGACTGCAAAGCCGGAAAAGCTGCGTTCCGAGTTGCGACGCAGCCAGGAACTAGGCGAGCAGCAGGATGTACCTGCAGCTCGTCCCGGTGATCCCGTTACAAAGGTGTATCGATGCAAATGAAACGACACGATGTTAGAAACGCAGCGGCGGGCAAGGAGCGCGGGACAGAGTAAATTGTGTGTCTGTAGCAGATGTAAAACGGTTGATTGCCATCGAAACGATGCGTACCGACTCTGTAAACGGTAGCTGCAGAGTTGTGGCCCGTGTTTCTGAGTCGAGTGGCCTATTGCCGGTAATGAGAGACAATCCGATTAGGTTCGGGTGATAAAGAACACGCGATAGATTGGAACGCAGTGCTAACTGTTACGAGGCACTTACTCCTCCTGTGTTACGAGACATCTGACGATTGTAAAAGTTTCGATACGCTTTGTCGTTCGTTCGTAAAATGGAAACTGTTTCCTTAATCGGCCCGACAACTTCCGTTGTTTGTGCTACTGATAGCTGCGACTCTTTTTCGCCCCTCTGCTGCGACGTTTCGAGACCAAAATTTATGGGGTGCCACACGATTTTTGAGGAATTTTTCGACCAACTGCTGGAGAATATTTATACAATCTATGCCCTTTCATCTGACGGGATGAATAATTTCGTGGATGATTAATTTAAAGAAAATACGTTATTTACTGTGCCAATATCTGTCGAAAGCGTAGTACCCATCGTGGGATTTTGTGTGAAGATTCTGTGCTTATTTTGGGGGGTTTGCAAGCTCATTTAGAGATCAATTCTTTGTCGCGGCGCGCGGAATATTCCGCGCTTGGTGATAGTAGACAGTCGCGGGCGCGCGGAATATTCCGCGCTTGGTGATAGTAGACAGTCGCGAGTTCGCAGAATATTCCACGCTTGGATGCAAATGGGTTAATCTATTTGAAATATTTTTCTGCTGGGCTTCTGTTTCTTGAGATATTCGGAGAAACGTTGCTCCAGGATTGTCGAAGAAGAACGAATTTTTAGATAATCCATAATGTCGAAATATTGTAGGTAAAATGGAGAAGGATGTAGTGGTTATGCAAAACAAATGCAAGTCGACGATGAGGAATAAAATCTCTACCCTCGAGACTTTGTTATGGGGAAAAATCAATTTTGAATTTTCTCTAAGCATGCGTGCACTTAACTGCGTATATATAAGTATAATAGTATATGTATATCGGTAACGGAGGTTCCTAATGGCATGTTTAGATCACCTGAGATAATAACGCAGGTGCCCCATAAATTTCGAAGAGGCTTTATCCACGGTTTCAAACCTTCACGAAGCTAGCAAGGCCAAAAATATTATTTTGCCTGCGAACGTGATTTCTCGGTTAAAAACGGGACGTTGTAGGAAGACAGGAAAAAACACGGATGCCGGAAGAAAAAGGCCGCAAAATGTTTTAAATGAATATTACATAAACCTCGAATCCAATTTCGTGCTCTCAACGGAAGCTTACGTCACCGAGAGGCATCCAATGAAAAATGAATAACGCCAGGTTGAAAACGAAAAACCTGTCCAAAGGCTATCCTCATGCAACTCTCTATTGACGTCGGGAAAAAAGGGAAAAAGGAATTATAGTGACTTTTCAACGCTGTTACAGCTTCCAGCCAACGGTGTCTTCTTTGAACACCTTTCAGGAATATCTCTGTCGTTAGGCAAATTACACAGGTAAAAAAGCTTGATAATAGACTTTCAATGTCGCTGTCAAGATTGACAACTTGGGAAAAGCGTAGTGTTACTTGAATCTGACCTTTTTATTTTCCTTTCCTTCCTGTTTTAGCTGGTCTTTCACGATGAAGGAAAGCGTAACGTGTCACTTTGACATTGAATTACAGGAATTGAGAGTGATGGTTTAAACCTAGCTAAATTTTGAGCGATAGAGTGTGTTTGAAATGATTCGTCATTTTAAATTTGAAATATGGATGAGAGTCTGATATAATTTATCAATTATACCTAATACCTAATATTAATATTGACACGCGACAAATTTTCAAAAGGAGTGTCAATAATTTCAGAATTTCGTGATAGAACTATTTGTAACTCGAGGTTAGATAGAAGTCATAATGATATCAAGGTATTACTTTCCAAAGATCAATGGTTTCCAATAATTACGAATTATAAATATCCTAAGTTGAAGTCTACGTGAACGATATCAAGATGGCGGTTTAAATTAGCCGCCATTTCTGACGAAACATAACCTCTTTTCTAATCTCCTTTCTAACTTCTATAAATATTCCACGTTAAATTTTTATACTTGATCGATTAATTAGAATTTATGAAATTACGATGATTAATTATTATGAAATACGTTACCTACTTTCCAGTCATTTTATTAATTCTAAATTATAGCAGATATACGTAACAAAAGTTGGAACGTACCTAACCATTGTCAAAATGGCAGCCAGACCTGTCTTATCTATTCTCTATAAATATTCCACGCTAAATTTTTAGTACCGATTGATTATAATTTATGAAATAAAATTTCGCTAATAATACGTTACCTACTTTCCAGTCATTTTATTAATTCTAAATTATAGTAGATATACGTAATAAAATTTGGAACGTACCTAACCATTGTCAAAATGGCAGCCAGACCTGTCTTATCTACCCTCTATAAATATTCCACGCTAAATTTTTAGTACCGATTGATTCTAATTTATGAAATAAAATTTCGCTAATAATACGTTTCCTACTTTACAATCATTTTATTAATTCTAAATTATAGTAGATATACGTAATAAAATTTGGAACGTACCTAACCAAAAACTCAAAATGGCAGCCAGATTTGTCTTCTACCGAAACTAACCTCAAATTCACTGTCTACAAGAAGAATAACCGATTTCACCGACGATTTTCAGAATCGAATATGCAGTTTAGCTCCCAAATATCGATCTACGATGCATTGATATGCGCGTGCGTCTGAAAAAGCGATAGAACCGATCCGGATAGAAATATTTTCCCTATTCGAGCTGGCTCGTTGCAGACGAGCGAGCTCGAATTCGAACACGAGCGGTCCCCTTTTTGTATTCGTTCCTCGAAAAGCGCCAACGAGATCACCGATGTGTGACTAAATATCTCACACGGAAAGCCAAAAAAGGGAATCGTATAATGGCGGGATGAACAAGGGGTACCTGATACGGCTTCACGCTGTTCCTGTTACTCCCGTTGTAATAGCGGCCCAGGCGCAAATTTCGTCGAATTTCGAAGATGATTGAATCTGCTCTATCGGTTTCAGTTTTTCACGAGTTTATTTTTTGATTTCTTTCTCGAAAAAGGATTTTTCTCATTCGGATTTCGTCGCCGTTTGAATTCTATATTAAATCTATCTATCGATGTACGGATTTTTATCTACAACGATTCGTAAAAATACGTCAGTATTTGCTAGTGCTCGAAACTCTGTACGTACACTTGGAATGCGATTAACGAATTGGTTTTTGAAATATTAAATTTTTATTATAGCGTGAAATATTAAGTAACCCGACTCTGGAAATAATTCTTTACGAGATTGGTTTGGTAAATCATTGATATCTATATAGGGGAATAAAATGATTATTCTACTGTTCTCCTATCAGTTATTTTCCTAGGCCTTACGTTTCCAAACGAGACTTATAGTTTGACAATAAATCCTACATCGTTTTCGTAATACCGAATTTTGTAAATATAAGATATATGGCTATTTCTAATTCTGTAAGAAACACGTGATTCGTGCGACTGCTCTGATATCTCATAAAAATCACGATTTGTATACAATACGATAAAGAATATTAAATTCATGCAATGATAAAGAAAAGTGGTGAATTTTTACTTACTCCGTACAACAATCTCGTCGATTTGGAACTTCAAAGAACCCGCTCTCCTGGAGAACATCAATGTGTGCCACATGTCGTCGTTCAAGCCTTGTCCGGCGATTAATGTCTGAAAATGAAAAATACATAGTATTAAGAAAAAGATAATTAACAAATTTTTGATAAACTCTGTTATTATCCTTCGACAAAGCGCGAAGCCGAGCTTGAGCTTATAATTAAAATTTTAACCGTTTGTTAAATCTCTTAATTCGATACGCAATTAAAATACTCTCTAAATTATTAATTTACGTTTTCATGCTTTGACGCATATCCTGCACTTTTGTTCAACAAAACAATGAAACAAAGTAATAAAAATTTCAATACCTATTCATAAGATTCGCCAAATTATAGGACTCTATGAATGTATGGTATAATTAAATTGAAAATGCTGTAATTACATTCGCAAAGCTACTTCGGTAATTTCATCGTGCTTCTAAATTTTCGAATTCGTGTCTAGCAACAAAATTTTGATAACTTATACCCAGAAATTTTGTATATTAAATTAAATCAAAAATTGATCTGAGAGCTAAGAATAATTAGGCCTAGGAGATTCGTTTCACAGAAATCGTAGAATGAAAATTTGAAAAATCGGTTTCATGGACGAAGTATTCGGAATTATGACCACCGGCCAGGAATTTCCGTTTCGATTTTGGGTTTACAGGTCGCCTTGAAACGAGATTGATTGCGCGTTGCAGGTGGAAGCCGCTCAAACACCGAGGAAATTCGCGTCGCGGTGCAATGGAAACACCTCAGGCGGAAACGAGCCGATTGAATTACATCGCGCGAATGCAATAATGGATACTTGAGCGCGAGCAATTAGAGCCGCGGGTTCACTCGTCGTTACGGAGATACAATGAAGACATTTTTAGGGCTAATCGCTTAATACCTCACACGAGAGAAACCACGCTTTCCTACCGATATTGTATCTTTATGAAATATAATTACAATCTTAGAATTACAGATATTCGTGTACTCGTCATTACGGAAATACAAGTGTGGTAATGGCTACATAGATTTTGAATATGTATGTGTTGATATAATAAAGGAGCGATGTTTGTAAGAGAGGGATGAAATGTGTCAAGCATGCATGGGATGCTAATATATAATGGATTCAGGTTATTGTGATAAACGAGTTTGCGTGTAATGACTGAGGTGTTGTGTGAATTGTGTATGTTCATGTCATGTGTGAAAGTAGGAAAAACAAACCAGAGAGATTAGGCATATGTTAGTTGTAATTGAGTTGTAATAGTGAAAATAGGTGTGAGCATGTGACTGCGAAAAATTAATTATATTTATACTTAATATTTGTGTTTGATCATTTTCTGCAATTAAATAAATAATTGTCCTTATTGTTGTTGGTATTTCATCCACCACTAAGGGTAATTATTATTGTACCTCTGACAGAAGATACGGTCACTGAATAAATAAATAAAAGAAGCTAACCCTATAGTTGAACAACCTCGAAAATATATCATAGTCCCCAAAACACTGTCAGAGATCCTCTATTTAGGCTCCCAAGATCTCAAAAATATTGGGCATAGGTCAGTTAAACAACATGGGGGCCATTTTAGAGTAATTATTATTATACCTCTGACAGAAGATACGGTCACTGAATAAATAAATAAAAAAAGCTAACCATATAGTTGAACAACCTCGAAAATATATCATAGTCCCCAAAACACTGTCAGAGATCCTCTATTTAGGTTCCCTAGATCTCACCAATATTGGGTATAGGTCAGTTAAACAACAAGGGGGCCATTCTAGAGTAATTATTATTATACCTCTAACAGAAGATACGGTCACTGAATAAATAAATAAAAGAAGCTAACCCTATACTTGAACAACCTCGAAAATATATCATAGTCCCCAAAACACTGTCAGAGATTCTCTATTTCCTAGATCTCACCAATATTGGGCATAGGTCAGTTAAACAACAAGGGGGCCATTCTAGAGTAATTATTATTATACCTCTGACAGAAGATACGGTCACTGAATAAATAAATAAAAGAAGCTAACCCTATAGTTGAACAACCTCGAAAATATATCATAGTCCCCAAAACACTGTCAGAGATCCTCTATTTAGGCTCCCAAGATCTCAAAAATATTGGGTATAGGTCAGTTAAACAACAAGGGGGCCATGTTAGGGCCAATCGTTTAATACCTTACGTGAGAGAAACGACGCTTTCCTACCGATATTATATCTTTATTAAATATAATTATAATATTAGAATTGTAGGTATTCGTGTACCGCGTGTACCGCATTAATCTGATCGTGATATAAAATGGTACCTGGTACGATGGCGCGTGCCACGCTAACCGCAGAGTCGGTCACACGTCGAGCAATCTTGTCCGCACACGTTGAAGAATAACACGCGACTGAGGGCAAAGACATCGGCGAAAATTCAACGTGAGCCTGACCCGTGATGTTTATGTTAGATCCTACCTACGACCCGCTCCTCTCGCACGTGGCACTTACGCTTACGTCGAATTCCTTACCAGGAACCTCGCATAACATTGTCATGCGGCGAGGTCAATGCAAACACGTGAGAAATTTACGTAGAAACGAGCCATGGAAGAACAAAAGGGAAACGATATTTAAGAAATAATTTCTATTTGAAGGATTTTCTAAATAAAATTTTTATTTATATCGATGTAACCATCAATAAGAATTAGTGGGTAAATAATTCAAGCTCTGAAGCACCGAGAATAGCCCAGTGCTTAAAGATCATATCGAGATCAAGAACCTAGTTCGTGTTATCAGCACCTTAGTTGGATCGATCGAAACGTGGTCTATCGTTCGAGAATTTCTGCACAGGGTATAAGGCAGTTTGAAATCATTTTCCTCCACCGACGAACGAATCCTTTGGAATTTATGGCAGTGGAGAGCAACGTGATCAGTCGAACGTGCGGTCGTTTCGATTGCTCGAACACCATGATGGAATTTCGAATTCGGACCACGCCATGGCCACCATTGGCCTCATTTTTCTGCTACCCCTTCACAACTTGGAAATCACGCACATCTCGAATTTTTCTTTCGTTTATTGCTTTTACAATTTATGATTTCTACTACTCAACTCTGACGTTGACTGTTAGACCTTCAGCAGTTGATTTACACCTTTGCAATAGCCAATATACGAAGAAGTATATTTTAATAATTAATAAATGCCAAGAAAAATCAGGAATTCATATAACTCGTTATCTTCCATTTCCAAAAATTCATTTTTAAAAGTGACACATATTACTCAGTCTACCTTTAACACGAGTTACTCTAAGTAATAAGAAGCTTAAACGAATTAAAGGATTAAAAGAGAATTTTGAAAGAATTTTAATCCAGTTGCAGAAGAAATTAGCAGAAAATTTAAAGTAGACATACTTATTCAACGCTATAGTAAATTTTTCATATCCCAAAACAGATGAACTCGGTGAAGATCGCGAATGATAATTTGTTCAAAGTAATAATAGAAAGTTGAAAGTGTACTTTGCAAGTAAATCTGTTAAACGAGCAAAACTTTAACTCTGATTGCTGCTAAGAGTCAGTGGAAAAGTCTTATCGAAAAGAGCCACGCAACAAAATGGCGCTTGTTTCGGCTTATGCTGAAGGAACATCACAACAAACGATGAGATTTCTGAACACTGTGACTGCGTTTCTATCAGTCCGTACTAAAAAATTCCAAATGAGAGGATAACGTATTATCTTAAATACTAATTACACCAAGGACGTATTACGATAAAATTCGAACACACATAGTGCGAATTTTATGGAGTGCAGACGCAATTTAATTTCAAATTAGAATCATGAAAATTCGCCAGAAGTTCCAAATTCCTCGATCACTGACACAAGATCTATAATTTCCTTTGACAGATGAGAATGGAATTTTGCAAAGGTTCAACTAGCCCGAAAAAAGAAAGAAAATATTTGCGTAACAGAGAGGCTCGTCGATTAACGCAAACCCACTTTCGGCTGCGTGTGTATTTTCATAAACGCGAGAGGCCATGCGAAATGTATGCACGACCCCGTTATTCAGGGCTCGCGCAACGATCCTGACACACGTATAGTTAACCATGCCGAGGTAGTATGGCAGCATCGATAAACTAACAACACGCGGCGCCTCTCGTTTGGTTAAACCACCATAAATCCGGGCAACTCGTCACTATCTGCTAACTGGTTTGGTCCACGCTGCCAGCCGCGATATTCATCTATCACGTGGCACCTGACACACGTTTGTCACCTGACGTCACCTTTGCACCACCAGCTATCGCTCGAGCTGGCCCCTGTGAAATTTAAGCGTTATTTTCAATCGTTCCTGCTGACGAGCTTTAGATCGACAACAGATACACTTGACTCCAATGAAATTCATTGCGATCTTCTGGGTCGCGTTATACCTTCTTCGCGGCTAGACTTTTACAGAGACGTTACCCCCTATTCTCTGGTGATGCAGCAGTAGCCATAATTTCAGTGACTCGTCGTGCTAAGTTAGATATTCGACACTTCACGAGTAATTATGTAACTCGGTCAGGTTTTATTGGCAGAAGATAGAAGAATTTGTGTTCAAAATTCTTAACCTAAGAGGAAAATATGCGAGGAGAAGACGTCTTCTGCAAAGACAATTGCAAAGTGCTAACGACTAGGTAGTAACTCGACGTAGTTGCAAAACGTATCTGAATCTTTCGCAAGTTTCCACTATTAACCCTTTACATTTCAAGCTTTTCTTGCTGAAGTTACCTAATCGGTGTCATTCGTTACCGTTAAGAATCCGCGATTCATGACAACGTCGCCACCTATTCAGGGAAATAGTAATCAGGATAATTAGGTGGCGGAGGGAACGAAGACCATTGCTCACGCCATTATATGTAACGACTCAGTCAGCCTGCAAACGTGAGAAAGATTACACGCATTTGACAGTGTTTAGAAAACCTCGTGCAAACGTGTAGATAATTTATTACCACGTATACGATTTTCAAGCGAAAAGGAATTCTGCATAGTGAACCCTTTGCCACCATTTTATTACTATTGCAATATTTGAAATTATCCAGTATTAATTAGTATTAATTTTTAAGTTTTCTCCAAGT